ACATTATAAATAAGATATGTCCCCTAATATACCGTACACAAATAAATTATCTTTTTCCCCATCTTAAGAGTATTGAAGATATTATGAATACCGACTAAAGAAGAACCACACAAGTTATCGAGTGATTGTTGTTCGTCTCTTAACATTTGTGTTTTTGGATTACCTCCGTCAAAAAATTTCTCAATGGATGGTATTTATAAAATGAATTTGTAGGTCCTTTAATTTCCTACATGTGTATATGATTGTCTAGTTTGTGTACAAAATTATATGTTGTACAAAATTATATATATATATATATATATATATATATATATATATATATATATATATATATATATATATATATATATATATATATATATATATATATATATATATATATATATATATATATATATATATATATATATAACAGTTATTTGATCAAAAGAAAAGAATATAGTGGAATGAATAAAAAAGAAGAAGGGGGTGATCGGAGGTGATAAGAAGAATAGTCTCTTGGTGGCAACCACCATTGCTCTAACACCACGTTGAGAGTTGAGCTCAAAAAATAGAAAAATAAAATAAGAGATAATTCAACGTTTAGTTTTGTCTCAATAATAAGGTATTTATTATAATAAATACATGATACAATTTATATAGTGATCATGACAAATTAAAAAGTATAATATTATTTGAGCTTCTATGATAAATGAGCTTAGACTTAATTCAAAGATTATCCAATTTAATTTTTAGGTGAGAATAATATTTGATCAGTATCCATATCTCTCGACACGAACTATGTATTATTAGGGCTCCTTTCTCCTGAAAAATTAGAGTGTAAAAGCTAAAAAAAAGTGTAATATTAAAATGGTTAAATTGTTGTTGAAATCAATTAATTACAATTATATAATAATACTTTAAAAAATTAAATTGGTATTTTGTCTTTTTTTTAATGTTTATTTTTTGAAATTTTATGTTTTTTTTTAATTACTGTTTTCAAAGTTTAAAATAATGCTAATTAATTTTTTTATAAAATTACTCTTAATTGTTTTTGCTAATTACCATTTTTAAAATTTAAAATAATGTTAATTAATTTTTTTATAAAATTACTCTTAATTTTTTTGCAAAAAGAGAAATATAAAACGAGTAAAATATTATAAATAAAAGAAAACTTATTTTCTAAAGATTATATATATATATATATATATATATATATATATATATATATATATATATATATATATATATATATATATATATATATATATATATATATATATATATATATATTATATATATATATATATATATATATATATATATATATATATATAAAACTTTTTTATACGTAAACAATCAACTATCTTACCACTAAAATATAAGGCTAGCACACTTTGGAAATTATCCCTCCCTTTTAAAATAATTTCAAAATAAAAAGGTTAATTTTGTCTCTTCATAACCAAAGCGAATTTATACACTTGATATCAAACTCTCTCCCGCCACGTGTACACTCCTTTTCAACTTTCGTACATCTCTCAATCTCTCAACTTTACACTTGTCATTTACTCCCATTCGCAACTCTCTCTCTCTCTCTCTCTCTCTCTCTCTCTCTCTCTATATATATATATATATATATATATATATATATATATATATATATATATATATATATATATATATATATATATATATATATATATATATATGTGTGTGTGTGTCTATAGCTTCCTCTCTCACTCTCTGTCTGTGGCAGCATTTATCTTCAACAACTTACAACAATCAACAGGTATGGAACGTGAAATAATGACCCTTATACGTCTCTTTCTTCATGTTTGATGTTGTCATGTTGTTCTCTTTGGAGTTCACAACGGTTTTCCTTCATTTTCTAAATTTTTCTCTTTCAAAACGGTTGTTCATGTTTTTGTTTACTACTCTTTATTGTTTGTTTATGTTTTATTATCTACTAAAGCTCATTTTTCTGCTATTACGGTCTTGCTCCTTACAATTTTTCAGTTTTTACGACTATTTCGATTTTTTCTTTTGATGTTTTTACAGTTCAAAATATTGTTATTTCTATTGTTTCAAGTTGTATGCTTTTCATGTTTCATGTTTCATGTTCCATGACCATATCTTTTGTGAACATCTTCTCAGATCCGTAAAAATGAAGCCTTTACGGTGTTTTTGTTGATTGACTATAACTTGAGTTTTGTATGTTGAGGTTGTTTGGCTAAAATATGTATTTTGAGGTTGTGTGTCTAACATTTGTTTGTTTGTATCCATTGTTTGCCTAAAATCTATTTATGTTTCATTATCTACTAAAGCTTATTTTTCTGCTATTACGCCTATTTTGGTTTTTAATTTTGTTGTTTTTACAGTTCAACATATAACTATTTCTATTATTTCAAGTTGTATGATTTTTGTTTTTCATGTTCCATGACCATATCTAACTTTAGTTTTGTATGTTGAGGTTGTTTGGCTAAAAGTTGTATCTTGAAGTTTTGTGGCTAAAATTTGTTTGTTTGTATCCATTGTTTGACTAATATATATTGTTACCATTTATATGCTAGATGTCAAGGGCTCCAATTTTTGTGTTTATCCTGTAGATAGGAAACCAAGTTTGAAAAATAGGTGTTCGAGTTCATGATTTATGGACCGTCAAAGAGATAAATGGTAGTTTACACGTAGAGCTCGTCATTCAAGATGCAAAGGTGATAAATCATGTTTCCATTCCAACTCTTTTCATGTTGAATGGTCATCTTACATTCATTGTTTAATACTAGACATATATTACAGACATAAAATTCAAGTTGTTACACGTCCAAGAGAATTCAACCATTGGATGGAGGTGTTGACAGAACAAGAGACATATACGTTATATAATGGAGAACCCTTGAAAAAAGATCTCCAATTGAAGGCATGTGACAATGAGCTCAAACTTTTGTTCAACGGTGCAACAACCCTCTTTAAGACACCAATTCACGACATACCTTCGCACAAATTTGATTTCAAGCCTATATCTGATTTTCTTGGTGGAAGTTACAAGCATGATCAGTTATATGTTAATTTGAAACTCTATTTGTTATCATTGTAAGCTTATTTTAGTTGTTTACTATTCGTAACTTATGTTTGTTGTTTTTCTACATTATGTAAATTGATAGATGTCATAGGAATATTACACGAGGTCATTAGAAAATAGATTGTTGGAAACAACAAAAAGGCTTGTGCTAACATTTCACTGAGTAACTATCATGGTAACATCATTGACTCGGCACTCTGGGATGCCTTTGCTTCCAAACTTTTCGCATTTTTGAACTCAAATACCAAAGCCACTCCCATTATTATTGTGCTAACCCATGGATGGTGCAAATCAAGTGCATGTAAATTTTTTCAAACTTGTCTCAGTATATGCATATAAAATTGTTATGATATTCTCCTAATTATGATTTGTCTTACATTTTATATTTAAGCTACAAGCAAACCAACTTTGTCAAATGCATGAAGTGGAAGTAAGCTACTCGTCAACTCTGGTCGCCCTCAAGTTACCATTACAGAACCAAGTAAGAACCTTTTATTTGACAAATTAGTCCAATCTTTTTGTTGTGTCCATTGTATGATATTAAGCTTAATTATTGACCATATTAGGTTAGGCACCTATTAGCCATGCACCCAGATTTCTCAAACTTTGTCTTAGCACTCGGAACATGATAAGTTTTGGACAAACTCCAAAGAATTCAAGACCATCTATGAAACTAAGGAGAAACATCGGGTATTGTGATAACTTATTTTAAATTTTTTAAAATGTTTCTTTATAATGAAGGTTACAACATTCTTGCATTGCATTTTAATTCCTCCGTCCATTGTGTTACATAATACGTTTGTGAAAACAAAGACTGTTTCTGCACAACTATTGAAACTACTTTGAGGTTCAAATCAACACAATCTGGTTGGTACTATCATTATTGCTCAGGATGCCATCGTGGAATCAAAAATCCAGAACTGCCTTTTGAGTGCGACTTTGGTGGACTCAATAATATTGAAGTCTCTAAATAAGCACCTAAACCGTCTTTTATAATAGTAAAATAACTATATTTGAAACTTTTAATGTCAATCTTATTTTCAAAAATGTATTTTGTAGATACAAACTTGAAGTTGATTTTCAGCACAACAGCCAATTTGTATGTTCATGTTTTAGGACAAACACTGTGTCCCTATTGTAGGGTTGACTGCTTCCAAATTTAGGGCTATAATGAGAGAGGTCAGTTTTCTACATTTTGCATCCCTAATTGTCTTTCCAAATGTCTAGTACTATAGATTTACTCCTTCTATTGTAGGTTGGGGAAGATCATCCACAAATCTATCCTACTTACCTTGATGCTCTTCTGAAGAAAAAGCTTGATTTTCGTGTCAAGTATACCACTACCTTTGGTCAATGATCCATTGTACAACTTAATACAGATGAATAGGTTTTCAAAAGGATCGAATTTCATTTTAACCCTAATAAGGTAATATTTCTATTATGCGTTTAAGTAATTCTTTTATTCGGGCGTTTAGTTTTTTAGTTTACATCGCATACACCTAATGTTGTGGTATGTGATTCCAACACACGTCAAATGTGGCCGCCGTGCAGACTTCAAATGTTCATGCCCTGCAAACTCCAAATGGTGCTGCCCTCCAAATTTTTCCCATGAATCAAACTACTCCATTCATCCAGAATATGGTCGAATATTGTTTATGATTGTGACATAATTTCTATAATTATGATTATATTCCTTGCTAATTGATAAAATGCATCAATAAACGACTATTAAACCTCATGTCTTATTGAGTATGTAAAGATCCAACCAACTGAATTGAGCATGTCTGAAACAAGCTCTACCAACACGCCATCGAAGAGAGATGTTGATGCCATTTGATTAGATGAAACTTCGCCCATCAAGTTTCTAACACCCATAAATTATGCCACCAAAGTGAAGCACATGAAGAAGGATTGACATGGAACATCCCTGGTGGTTTACAACAACAGCTTGTGACTCTTTTTGTGCATCTACTTCAAAGAATGCATTTGACATTTACCTTTTGTAATTTTTATTTCCAATTCACTAAGTGATATCTGAAAACATAATTTCCTTATTTTGATAATCATTTTCTATGCTAAGGATGTTGTTTGTAAGCCCCTTCTTTGTAAAATTATTGTTTGTATTTTGATGCAATATGGTGCAATATTGATATTTTTATTGTCTTTGTTATCAATATATCAATGTTTTAATCAAGAAAACAAATATCCATTATTAGCATATAGTAGTCCAAAATTGTGCTAAGATTTGTCTGCCAACAACTGTTTTGAAAAAAATTAAGGTTGTGTTTTGGTACTTAGTAATCAAACACTAAGGGTCACATTTGTTGTAAGCCACCCATTTAATTATGTTTATGGAAAATCCATCTATACATAAATTTGAGACAACTCGAATATATATATATATATATATATATATATATATATATATATATATATATATATATATATATATATATATATATATATATATATATATATATATATATATATATATATATATATATATATATATATATATAGTTGTTATATTCTCTACAAACAACAACAATGAAGAATCCTAAATGAACTTGTTATCTTTATATCTTCTACATATACACATACGTAAAACAAAACCAACAAAGGCATATCAAAACCAAGCTATATAACACTTAAATATTATAACTATTATAATTTAACACAAATCAATGTAACAAAAACAAATAAAGAATCCATTATAACCCAACATTAAAATTTCTCAAATTCATACCATGATACAAACAAAACTTTATTTAAATTTAACTCCAATACCATCATAGCTACCCTTCCAAATAACAACAACAACATTACAACACAATTTTCCATACTAATAACGACATAGTATCTCATCAAAAATCAAACTTATATATACTCAAAATTATCATCAATGAAAGTGTCACAATACCTTATAAAATTCTTACCTCAATAATATATTGATACAAATCCTCCTTAATTTCATCTAGTTGATATTTCGAGTAACTAGAAGACTTGAATTCATCAAAGTACTACATAATATAACATAATATGATTTAGTTAAAACTAATTAATTAGATGAAATGTGTTAAATGTTAAAATAAATCATAAGTTAGAAACTCATACCATGGTTGGAATATCTATTTAATTCAAAAGAATAATTGCTTTCATAAACCTCAACATGATATAACCGCAATCTATACCATTACGTTGACGAGGACACTACATATGCAAAAAAATATGAATGTATATCAGGATATATAGTTTAACTTATTTTATCAAGTAGAATCACTAATATAATCAAAATTATAAAAATATACATGCACTCTGATCCATGTAATATTGTTTTATTTACTCTTTGATACTTGAGTATCTCTTTGTGATTAAAAACTTTGTATAACTCTAACAAAGTATAAACGAATATTTAGAACAATCTCACATAAATAAATAAATAAATATACAAACGAATATTTAGAAAAATCTAACTTACACATCAACCATCTTCTTCATATATGGATATTTTGTCCAATCACCTTCTAACGAGTCCAGATAATATACAATTTCTCTTATAGGATTAATCGCAACCAATAACCAGTGTTCACTGTAAGATTAACAAAGGTTAAATGGAAAGTTTCTACATAACGTCAAAACACGAAAAATTATAATAGATGAAGTTAGAATGAAAATCTAACCCATTACCAGTATTAAATGGTAAAAAAATAATTTTTTATATCTTTGTTGGCCATAAATACACGGACAAAGTACTCTTTGACTTCACCTTGTCTTTGATTGATTAATCGTGAGTTGATATTGTTGGGAGATAAGAAACATAATCTTTTCCATAAATACATCGATGCCTAATTCAGAATGTCCAAAAACTTGATCCATATCCTCTTTACTAATTGTTTCATAATAGGAAAAAACCAAAAATACCTTCCTCCATAGGTATATTATGAGCACCTCCATCAGACAAATATGATATTCCTATTAATGTCTGAAGGCACGACCTATACTGAGAAGTAGCCTTTTTTAGCCGCGGTCTTTGTAACATCCTTTTTTGTGTGGACATGTTGCTAATTTCAGGCTTCTTACTCCTATTAACTTGTTGCATCTCTTTAGCATCAATCTAAAGATCAGATGCATATAAGTTAGATGAAGTATAAGTTCATAAATTAACATTTTCTCTCTCTCTCTCTCTCTCTCTCTCTCTCTCTCTCTCTATATATATATATATATATATATATATATATATATATATATATATATATATATATATATATATATATATATATATATATATATATATATATATATATATATATCAATGTACCACTTTTTTTATGCGACTGACTCGGTTTGCCGTGTAATCCCCTTACCTTTTGATTTGGATTTTGTAGGAGTCTAACATTACGGAAAAAAATGTACGTTAAATGGTCGTAAAAAATTTGAATACTCAAAGGTTCGTGATGGTTTTCAACATACCTCATCATCTATGCAAATGGGATTTTACGGCCATGCAACATATGATCCTATTGCCTCTCCCACCAATGTTGCATCTGAAATATCATCAGGTAAAGGTAATGGTGCATCCCTCTCTAAAGAAATATCAATTGATACTTTCAAAAATCTAGCAGGGAGCGGTTTATGGTGAAGTACTTCTCCTAAAGTGTTATGCACTTTTCCCTTGCCAACCATGCGATAAGTCGGTGAGGATAAATAGAGCTGACAAGGTGAAATGCCCTAAATCAAAAATAAATATGAAATTGTTAATGTGTATATATAGAAATTAAAAAAATTGTGCTAATTCATAATAATATATATTACCTCGGGAATTTTCTGTTGGAAATTACAATTGATACTATCTTTGTCACTAGTATCCTTGAACCCTGAACCTTGCCTTTCTGACTGATCTATTTCTTTATCCATTTCCAACTCACGAACTTTAGCTTTTAATTTTTCTAACTCTTTTATCACTTCTTTATTGCTATGACCTTTCCTCTTTTGATGGTTACCCAAAGACGTTTGAGTCACCCTAAATCCCTTACCCCTCACACGACCGGTATGCTCAGGAACATTTAATACTCGACTAAGTATATCCTGCAATCATGGTCTTCAGCTTAAATTAAAGATTGAGATAGATTCTCCTGAAACTCATATGCATATCGAAATAAATTAGTGGTGATTAAAACTCATAAATTATTTATGTTAATAAAATTTTGATTTAATTAAAGGAATACTGATATGCTTACACATTGCTCATAAATTTGTTCAACATCTTCCTTAATAACTCAATCCTTACCCACACGAGCATCCTTCCATAAAACATGTTCCGAAAGAGATATTTCTTGATTTTTCTCCTCTTCTAACTACACATTAAGAGAAATAATAAGATCAATTATAACACATGATGAAAAATTATATCATAGCATTTATATATACTTACCATTCTTTGTTGTAAGCATGCATATCCCATACGCCCTTTTTTGTATTGATACAGGGGACTTGATGCTCGTTGACGATTTACGACACTTACATTCTGAGAATCGGAGGTTCTTCGTATGTCTTTAAAGGTTTCCAATTCTTCAGGTGAAATCAAGCTTGCATACATCTTTGGAAGTTCTGCATCGATAAAATTGTTATCGGCATCCTTAAGAAACTTGTTTGTTAAAAAGATCGAAACCCTCTGAGTCTTTTTCTGTACAATTGAAGACAATATGTTTTTCGATCATCATCAATGTTAAAAGACCTCTACAAAAAAATTACATAGAGTGCGTTAGTAATTTAAAGACATAATAGTTAACAAAAACAAATGCCATCACATATGGTACTTGTATATCACTTTATAATTTTCTTTAGCGGGTTTCAACTCTCGATTTCTCCAATCATCACAAATGATTGGAACTTCTCTCCTCACAAGGGAACCAATGTAACTTGTCAACATTGAACAATTACGTTCAATTAGTTGTTTGTCTTCATTCCAATGTACGTCAAATTTTAAACCTTCATCTCTGGCCCGAATGATTGACTTCATAATAGTTATTCCTCGTCTAATATCATTCTCCATATCATGAACTGATTCATTTCCATCATTATTAGAAGCATCATGTGATTTTTCATCGTTACTAACCATTTGAACTGTAATAAAGAAAAACATAAACATAATATAAAATTCAAGTAGCATTGAATGAATAAACACAATATAAAAACATAAACACAATATAAAATTTTTATTGAATGACAGAACATATAACATTTTACTAGTACCTTTTTCACTAACATCTCTTTATTTTCTTGTTAGAAATATGAATTACTTGGATCTTAACAACGCTGACGGATGGATTGATCCAAATTCCCTTATTATGATCATTT